GAACATAGGTGAGGGCAGGGCATCAGTTCTGGGAACCAGAAAAATTTGTACTTTCATATTAATTTTGCCACTTACTTGCTGTCTTATATTGTGCAAGACACTTGCCCTCCTTTGACCACTGAAAAGGGAATGGTCTCAGCAGATGACCTATTTAAGCCCTTCTAACTCTAAAACTCTAAAATAAGGAAGCGTGTAAGTGTGTTGCTGCTTAGAGAAAAGAGGAGGAGAAAGTGCAGCCAGACACATTCCCCTGGCTGTTGGGAAGAATCCGTCCAAAGGTAAACTGGGCTCTTTGTAAATGGAAGTGAGTTCTCTGTCCATGAAGTAATCAAGAAGATGCTGGGTAATCCCTCCTCCAACCCTGAAAAGACCTGAGTGAGGGTGCTTGCAAGCCCAACCACGTCTGCTCTTTGCCTAGCAATATTACCTGAATTTCTCTTTTTGCCCCTTCACTGGATCATTTATTTATTAATGTATTCAGTAACTCAGTAAATACCCATATCTTAGTCATTCAAAACGATATTTGCCTTATTTCATTCTACTGCGATAAGAACACTTGAAAAGAAATCTACCCTCGTAAGTTTTTATGTGTACAATACAATATTATTGACTGTAGGTACAATGTTGTACAGCAGACCTTTAAAATTTGATCATCTTGCTTAAGTGAAACTTTTTGTTGATTTATACGTTGATTAGCAACTCCTTTTTGTCCTCTCCCCACAGCCCCTGGCAGCTACCATTCCACTGTTTGATTCAGTGGGTTTGACTCTTTTAGATACCTCATATAGGTGGAATCATGCAGTATTTGTTCTTTTGTGACTGCCTTGTTGCACTTAGCAGGATAACCTCAGGATTCATCTATGTAGTCATATATGGCAGGATTTCCTTCTTTTTAAAGGCTTAATAATATTCCATTGCATGCATACACCAAATTTAGTTTATCCATTTATCTGTCGATGACATTTAGGTTGTTCCCACATCTTGGCTATTGTGACTAATGCTGCAATGAACATGAGAGTGGGCAGTGCAGAAAGATCAGTTTCAGCTAGGGGAGACCCCCTCCTTATCTTTCTAGAAGAACCTGAAGCCTAGAGGCTGCCAATATGTTTCTAGAGCCTCCGTGATGTATTCCACAAACCAGTGAGTGATGTATAGGGAAGGAGCAGATCTTGTTCATAGCAGCATGACAGAGAGGCTAAAAGTGTTACTCTTATCACCCCCCTGACATCTCTGGGGCTGGGGGCGGCAAGGTAGGGCCCTTGGCATCATGTGAAGGATTTGTGTGTCAGAGAATGGGAGGGAGAACAGAACGGCTCTGCCCGGGATTTGAGAGAGGTGCAGGTTAGGAAGGGAGAGGGAGTGGGAGAGCTTGGAAAGGTCACTGAAGAAACTGGGCGAAGGTGATGGTGAGTGAGGAGGAACTTGGGGTGATGGTGTGAGAGCTTGAGTCCACATGGGGTGTGCGATGTAACTCTCCTCGTTCCCCCACAAAATGTTCAGTAAAGTCTACACTGCTCAGTAATATTTTATGGAATTGGACTTGCTCTTTTAGAAGGTGCAAAAAAGTGGGTGGATGAAAGCAGGGCATCCCCACAGAATCAGGTACCTGGGGATCACACTTAGGTGTGTGACCATCCTTTTGGCCAAAGGCAAGGCTCTTTTCCTCTCAGAGAGAGCCTGGTGTGCCATAGGTCTTCCATAAATGGCTGCTGAATGAGCAAATTCATGCAAGGTCTGTAAAAGCTGGGGGCTTGTGAGTGTTTGCAGCCTCCCCGCACCTCCCCAGGAACACAGATGGTTTTAAGATCAGCTGGGGCTTTGGGCAAAGGTTCAGCTGGATTTGTTTGTTCCTCTCTGATCTACTTTGACTGTCCCTGGTCAGGATCGCAGCCAGCCTGAAACAAACACAAAACTAAATAGGAACCCAGGAGAATAAAATAACAGCAGCTCGTTCCTCTGAAGTCCTGTCTGGTGCTGATGGAGCTGACAAGATAAGAGGAAACCAGGTTTAAGTAGCGAGAGGGCTTTGTTCAAGTCCGAGCCTTCTCTGACTGTGAATGCCGTAGTTGCAGAGATAAGCCCCCTGCCCTAGCACTCCAGAGATGTGCTCCACCGCTCTCTGCTGGGGGACAGGCAGCTAAGAGCACAAGGGGAAAGAATTCCAAAACGATACATGTCAGATTGCTGGCCTGGATTTCAAATGCCATAGATAGTTTATGCGAAGTCTCGCACTGTTGTAAAAATGTAACACAATCCACTGGCAGAGCTGCATGAGCTCAGTCTCAGTTGTTTTCGAGAAAAAATAAATAAACTTGAAAAACGTCTTCCAGCCCATTAAAGTGGCTTGTTTTACCCATAGTCTTCTCGGTATTAGGCTTCTAGACATGTGAGTAACCGAAGCCGACACCTAATTCCTGGCCAGTGAGATGGCTGATTCTTGGCACTTTTACTCTCCTTAGGACGTTACCTGTGCCTTTCAGGAAACTAATACTGTATTCCCAGGACCCACTGACACCTTGGGGAGGGGGGAGGGAAACTTTGGCGATGAACAAGTTTCAGTACTTTTCAGTGTTTTTAAAGCAGTGAAGCTCTCATGAAACATGACAAGGCAGCTTGATATATAAAGCAGTTGAGTGAAGATACTCTGGTTGAAACAGTGGAGCAGAAGCTAAGTACATCTTCTCACATCCTGACCCTCAGACTGACACCTCCAAGCAACCCTAGGAATCCATAGGCAACACCTTGAAAACCTATGACCCAATCCAACATTCAGATGCGAAAGGTAAACCGAGGTCCACAGAGCGGAGATAACTAGTCCACAGTCACACATCAAATTGTGAGGGAGTTTGAACCAGAACCAAGTCTCTAATCCAGCTCACCATTGCAGAACTTCCCAGGTGACAAAAAACTTTTCTTCTTCTATTTGAGGTTTCAAGAATAAACTGAAGATGTTAACTTTAAGGGAAATTGGGTAAAGCATATATGGAACTCTTGGTATTACCTTTGCGAGTTTCCTGTAGATATAAAATTACTCCAAAACAGAAAGTTTATTTTAAAAAGAAGCATTGCATCTTGCAATTGTGGATCACAGTGCAGCCATGTGTTTCAGCTTGACTTTGATAAGTGAATCTGTTGTGTAACTTTTCCATGCTATTTTTAATTCTTCTACACTCATGTATATGAATCCCTGGGTATAGCCTCGCTTTGCATGATTTTTATAAATAGCGTCATAATGCACTTACACCTTGTTCTTTTTTAGTCACTCAGTGTTATGCCTTTGCAGTCTCCCCATGTTGAGATCTATGAACTCACAAATAGGGCTTCCATTTTGCTTGGCCAGGGTCCCTACTGAACCAGGTGTTAAATATTGTTAGGATCATCGCTACATTTGAATCCCATTCAGTCCTCTTAATATTCTTTTGCTTACAGAATCCTATCATATGAATATATCATATTTTATTCATCCCTTCTTCAACAGGTGAACATATAAACTCTCCCTAATCTTTTGCTACTATAGACATGGCTGGAATGAATATGGAATGCATAGTCTTGACCCTTGTATATATATTTTTTTCCCCTTTTTTTTTTTCCGCCTGCCGATTTGCGGTACACGGGCCTCTCACTGTTGTGGCCTCTCCCGTTGCGGAGCATAGGCTCCGGACGCGCAGTCTCAGCGGCCATGGCTCACGGGTCCAGCCACTCCGTGGCACGTGGACTCTTCCCGGACCGGGGCACGAACCCGTGTCCCCTGCATCGGCAGGCGGACTCTCAACCGCTGCGCCACCAGGGAAGCCCTTCCCTTTCTTTTTGTTTGTTTTACATGCGTACGTTTGTTTTACATGATTGAGATCAGATTATCTCACTTTTTTTCATAGCTTATAAGACCTTAGAGTTCTTTAGGTTGGCCTTACATTTTAGATCCGTAGCCTGAGACCCGCAGGTGTGGAATGGAATGACAGGCCCAAATTCCTGGGGAAGGTTGGACAGAGGAGCCTCATTAGAGGTCCGAGGAAAAGCTCTAATGTGGGATGACCTTCTGCAAAAAGTCTGACCAATCTCAAGAACATCTCGGCTATTCCTCTCCTTTTCCATCCTAGCTCTTTTCTAGTCTAAAATTTATAGTAATGTATGCATACGTGATTACTTGATGAATGTCTGTACACACCGTCACTCTAAGCTCCGTAGCATCTGACCCGTCTGCCGTCTTGTCCCAGAGTGCTCGGCAAATGGCAGTTACTCAATAAATGTTATTGGAATGAGTGAATGAACCAATGGAATGAAGTGACGTTTGGATACACAAGATACTCCTCAGTTTGAACAATACTACTTGTCTATACATGTTTCATGTTTCTTTTAATACCATTTGATATATCTGTCATTGAGAATGAACGCGTGTGTGTGTGTGTATGTGCAAATCTATACAAATGGTAGAGCTGATTTTCTTTGGGGAAAGCAAATGCTCGCATTGTCATAGTCTTTGTTCTCTCATTAATGTAGCTCTGAGCACAATTTACGGATTTGCTCTAAAGTGGTCTGCTTGGTATTCAAGAGTCTGTGAGATCCAAGCCCCTCAGGCCTGCCTTTGATGCCACTTTCCCCAAGCTCTGTTATACCAGGCAGCTTGTCACTAATCATTCTGGGCTTCTGCTTTCCTCTGAGCCCTTGCTTCTATTCCCTGCATGTGCAATGCCCTTCCTTTCGTAGCTACCCTATTCTTCCAGACCCAACTCAAATGTCAACTCTTCCAGGACTCGTCCCCACGAGAATGTCTCTGACATCTCTACCACCAAAACATGTTATCTGTCCTTTCCTTGATAACATTGAAGATTTTCTCTTCTACATTAGAATGTGGGCTCCTGGAATAGACTCTTGTCAGTTCATCCCTATTTCTTCCTGCAGTGTCAAGAACAAAATAGGTGGATAGTAAAGTTTTGTCACGTTGAATTTAACTCAACCTCTGAGACCCTCTAAAACATTTGTTTCCCTTTATCTTTTTCCAGGTGTGTCGAACCAAGGTGATAGATCTCAGTGAAGGCATTTCCCAGCATGCCTGGTACCCTTGCACCATCAGCTACCCGTACTCCCAGCTGGCTCAGACCACTTTCTGGCTCCGGGTAAGTCAAAGCTTTGAGAGCCTTAGATTCTCCAGCAGTGGCCCCCAGGAGGCACTGCCTCCTGTGACCCTTTCTCAAGGTGGTTTTTCTACCCACTGAGGGTGTTAATTGTAAGGACAGAGAAGAAAACACTTAGCAGCGGGATGCTTCCTGGAATGGAATCCCTTAGTTGCTCATGGGATGCCTTCAGTCAGTCTTATTTTGGCCAAGAGTTTAGATACCATTTATCTGCCTGGAAGACCATCATTGTTCAAGGCCTTTTAAACTGCCTTCTCCTTGAAGTTTTCGCTGACCCCCACCGAGAGAAGGGACTGTCCCTTCCCTTCTGGTCCTCCACGCGTGGCCATCTATTGGATGGCTCTTGTCAAGTGCCATGGTATTCCGTAGCTGTCTGTGGGCCCATCTTCCCGACTGTGGACTGTGATTGTTTCAAGTTTTGATTTGTGTGTTACTGACCTACATTGAACCCCACCGTCCACAGAAATGCAAGAGCATATATCTTATTTACCTTTGTCTCCTCGGCGCCTAGTACAGAGGTTAGTTAGCGTGGAGAAGTGATGAATAATAATAAGTACCATTTTGCGTGGTTTTAATGTATGCCAGACCCCTTATTATCAGTATCTTACTGGGGCCTCCCAGCCATCCTGTGAGGTAGCTATTTACATATCCATCACTTGGAGGTGAGGGAACTTGGGCCCAGAGCAGCACAGCCACCAGTGGACATCACACAGCTTGGAAAGAGCAGAACCTACGTTAGAACAATCTCTGACCTCAGAGCCTGTGCTCTTCACGCTGAGGTTTCACTGCCCACCTGTTCCCACCATGGGACCGTGATAAGTAGTCCAGCTCCTGAAATGGAAGATTCTCCTTCAAAGCCCGCCCCGTGGCTGCCTCCGCGCCGCACGCCTGGCTGCGTGAGTGAGCCTCCTGTGTCCTCTGCATTTCAGGCGTACTTTTCTCAGCCAATGGTTGCCGCGGCTGTCATTGTCCACCTGGTGACCGATGGGACCTATTATGGGGATCAAAAGCAGGAAACCATCAGCGTCCAGCTGCTTGACACCAAAGACCAGAGCCACGATCTAGGTGAGCGTTGCCCTCGGGTGCGGCGTGCTCTCGGAACCCGCTTCCGCACGTGCCTGCGCGTGGTTTTAAGCATTGGCTGAGGATGAGCGCTTTCCTCCCCTTTCCTCCTTCTTGCTTCTCTATTTGCCATTCTGGTTGCCTTCAAGTCAGGATGTGTTTGTGTATCCAGAGAAGCCCGAATCTGACAGGTGTGGGCATAAGGGGTTCACGTCAAAGTCCTCCTTTCAATAGCTCCCTTCTACCCTACGCCTTTACCCTCAGGCATCCCATGAGATCCTCAAAAGACCCTGGGAAGGAGACTGAGTAAAGGTTCTTTCCCATTATGTGTGTCATCACCCGAGACCCAAAGAGAGGCATCGAGAGGCCCGGGTCGCGTGGGAGGAGCCAGCAGGAGAGCCGGGGAGCCAGGCTTTCAGAATCATCGCCTGCTGTGCTTCACCCTATAGCCGTGGTGTCCGTGATAGTAAACGGGCCATTACTTGAGATGTTGTGACCCGTGCAGAGCACGGCACCCAGCGCTCAGGAAGTCCCATCACCCCCTCCCACACTTCCCAGACACCCTGCCCCGTCTACCTCTGGGCAGCCAGGCCAGGAGTTTGGAATTCCAAGCCAGTGCTGAAGTCCAGGCTTCAAAGCTGTGCCCGCACCATTCCACAGGGAGCTCACTTCAAAGACCCGTAGGAAGCAAGCATGCGAGGGGTCACTTCGGGGTCAAGCAGAAGCCAAGGCAGGAGGAGGGGGTTTGTTTTGTTTTTATGTTTACTTATTTGGTTAGTTTTCAAGGCGAGGGGGACCCGTTAATAAGGAAGAAGAAGAAAACCCTGCTGGATTTCTCTGGATTCCCAGGAAATGTCCCTAAGTGAGAAGCAAACATTTTCATAGCGGTCCTGGCATCACAAAGGGCTCTGCGGAGAGACTTTCAGAGGAGCGGGGAAGAGTCAGGTTCCAGCGAAGGTCCTCAGACCCTGCTAGCTGATGCCTGGGGTGTCCACATGTCCCTCCCTGCTGGGTCTCCTGTCCTGTGTCCTCAGCTTCCTGGCACCCCTTGCGGAGGCTCTGCAGCTCTAAGACAGTAGACCGCACAAGGGGACCCGCAGGCCTCCCAGGACATGGTTAGGATCACCCCATTCTTTACATGCAGGCACTGAGTGAATGAGTGTTAGGGCTTCGGTGGATTCACATAGTAAAGAAACGGCACTGGTGTCCGTCAAACACCGGAGCCAGCTTCAGTTTTACTGAACTCCAACCCACCCCATCATTCCCTTCCCTCCCCTTCTGATGTACCTTTTCTCCCGTCCCTCTCCCAACCCCCTTCCTTTTTTTCTTTCTTTTTTTGCGGTACGCGGGCCTCTCACTGCTGTGGCCTCTCCCGTTGCGGAGCACAGGCTCCGGACGCGCAGGCTCAGCGGCCATGGCTCACGGGCCCAGCCGCTCCGCGGCACGAGGGATCCTCCCGGACCGGGGCACGAACCCGTGTCCCCTGCATCGGCAGGCGGACTCTCAACCACTGCGCCACCAGGGAAGCCCCCCACTTCCTTTTTGAAGCCCGGGGACTTCTAGAAAGAACTGAGGGCTTCTGAGTGAAGCAAGTTTGGACTTTCCTTGGACTTTATATGGCTTGCTTTTCTGTTTCCCTCTGGAAAGCCACCTCCTGGTCATGATTCTCTGTCTCCTCTTTGCAGAGTGGGTACAGAGGTCCTTACCTCACAAGAGCTGCTCCCAGATTCCTAGATTAAAAATGAGAGTAGGCTTTTTACGCCGGGAATGACTTATTTCTGTGAATTATTTCCATCATTTATATGACAGACCGGGAAGGCAGCCTGAAAACTAGCAACTCAGACCAGCAAGCCCTCATGCAATGTGGGAGGGAAGTGAGGGCCAGTGGTGCTTGGCCAAGGGGTGGCCATTTGGGGGAGGGGGAGGGGCTGTGAGCCCTAGGTGAAGGGAAAGCTTAGGGGGCAGTGAGGCAAGGGGATTGGAAAGATTTGGAACCAAGAGAAAAAGGCAGACAAAGAAACTTTCAATCAAACTCAAAATCCCCACTGGCCACCCAATGGTGCTTTTGTGCAGTGACATGAAAGGGTCTGGGGGCTTCGGGAAGGGCCCGTTGGGGAGGGCGTGACTGGCCGTGAGTAATGAGCCTGGCCCCTCGGCCCTCTGTTTCCCCTGACAGGCCTCCATGTTCTGAGCTGCAGGAACAATCCCCTGATTATCCCTGTGGTCCACGACCTCAGCCAGCCCTTCTACCACAGCCAGGCGGTACGTGTGAGCTTCAGTTCACCCTTGGTCGCCATCTCGGGGGTGGCCCTCCGTTCCTTCGACAACTTTGACCCCGTCACCCTGAGCAGCTGCCAGAGAGGGGAGACCTACAGCTCTGCCGAGCAGAGGTAAGGCACCCTGGGTCGGCTCGCCCTGGGCCGTTTTGTAGCCAAGTGGAGAAGAAGGGGTTCTGGAACCGGGCAGCCATATGTGTTGCAGTAAAAAGTCTGTGTGTTTCTCCCTTCCCTATCCTCTGGCCTCTGGTCAACTCTGCCTTTGGGCTCGGGAGGCCCACACGTCTCTGAATTCCGGGGGTGCGGTAGGGCAGCAGGAACATGTTGTGGAAGGAAGACCTCCTTCACCTGGCTCGCAGTCCCAGAGCTGGCGGCGGCCTGCAGGATGACCCTGGGAACATCACTTTCCCTCTCTGGGCCTCAGCATCCTCATTGGAATGAAGAGAGGAGAGGTGGTTTAGCTCTCTTTCAGCTCTGAAATACTGGAATGTTTTGTTTCCTAAGTAGCACAGGCAAGAGTCATAACCCTCCTGAATTTAGGGGGATGCTGGGGGACTACTGTTTGCTTCATCCCACTGCACTGTATATTTCAGGGTTGGGTAAACCTCTGTGTCGTCCCCACACCTAGCTCCTGAGAGATTCTCCCAGTGGTCTCGGGGTCTGTCTTTTAACCGCATGACGTTGCTGCATCAGTACCTTTGATCTGGCATCTGTTAATGCACCTGGTTTGGAGCTAAGAGAGGATGCTGTTTCCTAGAAAGAATATGAGCTTTAATGATACTCTTACCTAGGTTTGAATCTGCCCCTTCCTGACTGTGTCCTTGGACAAGGAAGGCACTTCACTTCTCTGAGTCTCAGTTGTCTGTTTTGGAATAAAAACGGGTAATAATATCTACCCTGTAGGGTGGTCGTGAGGATTAAGCGGTGCACTGCAGGCAAAAGTGCTCTTACAAACTATTAAGCACCGTGCAAAGATAATGTACTGATAGAGAGTATTTATCACCACTTTCTGATGTGATGGTGGTGCTTTTCTGCACAGAATTCTGCATGAAGTTCTTAGCTTTGAGCTGGGAGAAGCCTCGGAGCTCATCTGGTACATCCACAGTGTCCAAACTTCCATGTTACCCTCTGGGTTTTCACAAGCAGAAGGACTGGTTCAGGGTCCCACATCATCTCTGACATTTGTTTTAAAGAGTTGGGGTCTCTGTGGTTTCCCCCCGAGCGAGGCCCTCTGAAAGGCAATTCAGCCCTGACCTGTATACCTGGGAGCAGGAGAGGAAAGAGGAGTGGGGAGGGAGACCCCAGCCTTTCCCGCGCCCCTGCTACCACAGGGGACACAAAAGGTGGTTGCAAAACCCACATTGTTTTGCACCCACTGTCTCTAGCTTCTGTTGCGCAAAGTCTGTGGCAATCCTTCGGAGGCAAAAGAGCTCCTTAAATATCACTCGTTATATTTCACCCTGAGAGGGCTTTTTCATCCCTGGCTCTCCGGGCTGTAAAAGTAAGTTAATTCTCAGAACCCAGGGAAACAATGTCGACGGAAAATGCAAATCCATCAGACCTTCTCTGCAATGCTTTCTCATCCTTAGCCAGTCACCAAGACCATCCCCTAGTTCACTGAGCCCAGCACTGGCTTCTTTGAGTCCTTAATTAGCAGTTCCCGTGCCCAAAGTAAACAGTAAGAAGTGTCTAACCTTGGAAGCAAGTCCGTCAATGAGTATGTGCTGAGTTCTTTGCTCTGCTGTGGAAAAGCACTGAACTGGGGCACAACGTTCCAGGCCCTCCTCCTCTCTGGGCTTCAGTCTCCCCGCATGTGAGATAACGATGGCGATGGGTCCGTGTTCTCTGTGGTTCCTTTCAGTTCGAACAGTCTGTGATTCTCAAGAACTAGGAGGGATGAGAGGGAAGAGGAAGGGACCCACACTGGCTTCATGGTCACCCCTGTCCCGTGAGGTATGGACAGAGGGAGCGAGTCACGGCCATCCAGGCAGTGGGAGGTACAATCCCACTTTGTCTGCCGGAAGAGCCACACTCTGCCCACCAGGACCAGGCACATCCAGGAGAGAAAAGGATTTTTCATGGCTGCTCACTGATGAGCATTTAGTCAGTGAGACTGAGTTAAGTGATGGAGATGCAGCCATCTTGGGATTATCAAAGTCTGTCTGTTCTCATTCCAAGGGGCTCTGAAATTATATGTTACATATATTGTTTTGTCCTGACGCCAACCTGATCCCTGAAAGCTGCGAGGCTGGAAGAGATTCTTTGGTTCTGCGTCCTCATTTGAGGGTGGGAAACCGAAGGTCCAGGTGGGGGAGGTGTTTCCCAGCGTCGCCCAGTGGGTTAGGATGCAGAACCCAGTGGCATTGGAATCCAGTTCGCAGGACTTGCAGGTCAAAGCTCTTCCCTTCTCATCAGAGGTGTCAAAACAGCTGTGTCCCGGAGGCCAGACTAGGCCACAAACAACTTGTGTTTGTTTAGCCCTCATTCGGCCTCTTCTTTAATTACTTGTAGCATTTAACTATCAGAAGAGTAAGTATTAAAGCCCACAGTTCTTCCTCCTCTTAAACACATCAGAGGATTTGGAAACACCAGGCCCTGGGTCCCGCTCTGGCCGGCAGGTGGCCTCCCACTGGCCACACCCCTCTCAGCTCACCTGGCCATTCAGATGGTCAGCCGGACCCGCAGCTGCCGACTTTGCCTCCCAGGGCTGCACCCACCACATCACCAGCTCGCGGTAGAAGAGCCTTTTAGGGTCCCTTCCCGCAGGAGCCTCGTTACTGGGCAGGAAAACGAGTCTTATCTTGATCATTCTCTCAGCCTCACTTCTCTAGCGATCCCGAAGCTGGTGTGCCAAGAGTAGCTTTCCCTTCGTTTTCCAGTGTTGAGCGTGCTGTCTTTCTGGCTGTCCCCATCTGAGCAGCTCAGAATGATTTATAAACAATCTGCCTGTTATTATCTCCACAGCCCATGGCATGATTGCAGCTAAGCAGCCACAGAAGTTAAGCCGTGGGTCAGGGGACAGAGCCAGGAGAGGAGCCCTCACCAGCCCTTTAACCTCTGGCCTTCTCTATCCCGGTTGAGGGGTACCTACTATCCCCCATTATGCACGACCGGGGGCCCTTTCAGTTGACCGCGGGGGCAGCAGTTGGAGGACTGACTGTGGGATCACTTAAGGACCTACCTCTACATGGAACTTGAGTCTCTAAGTAAATGAATTAAATATGTATAAGAAGAAAAGAAAATTCATAAGTATCTGATTATCTCTGCATGGGGAGAGGGGGTGTTTCCACCTTCACCCAGGTTGTGAGCATTTTTTTGGTAAAATTTACCTGTGTCCCTTCCCCCACTGGCCTCAGCCACTTTCCTCCCTTCTGAGGAAGGTCTTCCTTCTTTTGTTATTTTTATTGACAGCCCGTCACTGGTATGAAATCCTCCCCCCACTTTTTTTTTTAATGAAGGCAGAGCCTTTTGTTTTGTTTTGTTTTCCTCGTTTTGATTTTTGTTTTTGTGTTTCAGAAGTGACAGAGCTGTGTCAGGGAGTTATTTGGGAGGGGCACTTGGGGTAATGTTTATCATTTTTGGACAATGTGTTCACACAAACCTTTCCAACTAACGAACGGGACAGCAAAGGGAAGAGCAGGGATTTAGGGACAGACAGGCAGACCCGTGCTGCAGTCCTGTCCACGCCGAGTGCCTTTGGACAAGCAACTTAAACTCGCTTAGTCTTAACCTCTTCTTCTCAAAAATGGGAACAATAATACTACCTCATGGAGTTATGGTGAGGACGCGGAGAAGATAATGAAGGTAAAACACAGCTGCCGATACCTGTTACTATTCATTCCTTTTCCCCTTTCCTTCTTGTTCCTGTAGGCCAGGTTTAGACAAATGTGCTGAAAAAGCAGGGACTCCACATTCCCTAAGGTGTGTTCTGGAGGACACTAGTCCTAAGAAACATGCCGCGAAGAAAGGTTATCAGAGCTTGGAAAATGCTGCGCACACGAGTCCCTCCTGAAAACCCACCATGTGCAGTAGAACGTTCAAGGTTCTGAGAAGTCCTGCAATGAAGAAAACTGACTGGTCTCATTGACCCAAAGCATTGACCTCCCCATTAGAGCATAGGCCTGTTTGGTCAGGTAACTCATATGACCAGTGACTGTTTTCCTTCATAGTAGAAAGAGCCAGAGGAGAGAGACCGCCTTCTCATGGAGCGTCATAGTTGCTAAAGCATTTCTCATGCCTTGACCTTTCAGCTCTGCAAACACGCTGAGCTCCAACCTGTGCTGGACCTTTGCACATGCCCTTCACTCTGCCTGGAATTCCTTCTGCCCCAAACCTTTGTATAGCTAATCCCTTCGTCTCATCCAGGTTCAGGTGTCCCCGAGGAGGCTTCCCCTGACCCCTATGTGCGTGGTGTCCTGCCCACCCCTCCCCTAACAGTCACCCTCTATAACGTCACCTGGGTTTAGTGCCCTTGCGGTGTGCATCACTATCTAAAACAAGCTGATCGATTACTTTTTTGGGGCACACGTCCTCCCTCCTCAAGCACACACGGTGACAGGACTCCTCCACGGTAGCCCTAGCGTCTAGAGCAGTGTCTGCTGCGCGGCGAGAGCCCCAGGCAAGTGTGTTGAATGGATGAGCCAGTGGCTGACATGTCCCCTGGTTTTGACAGTCTTGAGAGGTGGATCCTTTTATCACCTCCACTTGACAGAGGAGGAACCTGAGGCTCAGGGTGTTACATAACTTTCCAAGATCAAACAACTGATAAATGGCAGAGCTGGGGCTCCCAAATTTGCCCACTTGCTAAGCCCTAGGTTCTTTCCATTCTAGGAAACCAAGTTTTCCAGTTTATCCTTTTCCTACAGAGGAGAACCTTAATAAGCACAGAAGGAGGGAGGGTGCTGTTTTTATCCTAATGGCCCCCTAGCCCAGAGAAGCCCAGAGCCATTGTCTTTCAAAAAGAGTTCCCAGAGCCCCCCTGCTGGTCATCAGATGGGAGCCCAGGGACCTCCTGGGAGTGCAGGGCGAGAACGGCCAAACTGTAAGGTAAAGGTCAGAAGACTGGCTTGGAAGCTGGTAGCTTACAGAGTAAATCTATTTAAATTGGAACCATGTGGCTCTTTCCCCCAGCGCTTACACAACGTGAACAGATGCATTGTTTGGTGTCAAAGCCCCTGCGTTGACTCCACAGCTACAGTCTCCACATGGAGCCCCGCAGAGGCTGTCAGGGGCAGGAAAAAGGGCGGAGAATCAGATATCACTTAATCCCACTCACCCTGCATTTCTGAAAGGGGAGGCGGTATGTGGAGACTGCAGAGCTCACATCGGTGCGGGTCTGAGACCTGAAACTAAGGCTTGCCCTTGTCTGGGTATTTTAAAAGTGAATTTGTTTGTGATAAGTTTTAGAGATGTTAGCGCCTCACACCCGCCCCCGCACCGCCCACCCCACTTATCCCACTTTAATTCCTACCATACTTTTGAGCAGGGGATAGAGAGTGGGGCTGAGTAACCATGTTCCTGTAAAATCCTCAGTGGGGTATCCTGGAAACTGGCACCAAGAAAAAAGTTGGGAATTTCTTCTTAAGTTGGTTTGACCACCCACCGCTCCTTGTGTCCTAGATAGAAACAGGAAAAAGAAAGCTTCGAGGCTCTGGATGGCAACCTAGCTGTCTGTGCATACCGTATGCCAGGCGTTGTGTTAGACAGAGTCAGAGGGGCAAGGTGGAGAGAACTGCCTCCTGGAAGCTTTCAGTGTTCAAAATCAACATGTCAACGTCTGCAAAGTGCTTAAGAGTTATTGCAAGACACTGCCACCATTTGTTTCTTGCTATTTAGCAAACGGCTATTTCACGCAAGGCATTTTTATTGGCAGTGCGAAGTATACTGAGGTGAAACAGGCATTATCTCTACCCTCAGGGAAGTTCTAGTCCAGGTGTGAGGTGAGGTTAACAGCAAGGACTTTGGAGTCACACATCTGGATGGGAACTTAAACAAGTAACTTGATCTTGCCGGTCCCCGATTTTTCCAACTGTAAAATGAATAACACTTAGCTCATAGGGTTGCCGTGAGGATGGGTGAGCTCATGTATATAAGCAGTCAGTGAATGGTCACTAATGTTATTAAGCGTCTGCATGACGGTAGTACGAGGGGAAAGATCACCTAAGCACAGGGGTTTTATGTTTTTTCCGTTTCCTTAAGGGTTAGCACACATTCCGGCACGTGGTGGGCACCCAGGACCTGTGTTTTCAACTCATGAAGCAAGAGACCAGGCTTTTAGAGAAAGGAGGGCCCAGTGCGGCAGGGGGAGCTTGCCTGGGACACGAGAAAGCTTCCTGTAGAAAGTTAGATGGAGCTCGGACTTGAAGATGAATGGCGTGATCTCTGCACAACTTTTCTAACAATTCATAAGTCACTTTACAGTTTATAAAAGACTTCTACTTTCAGTACCCCAGTTGAATCTCATGGACCTATAGGTTGGCCGAATTTGAGAGTACACTGAAGCTCAGAGAGGTGATGTACTTTGCCTAAGTTACACAGCTTCTAGGTAATAGAGCATAGATTTATTCATACCATTAGCTACTACCATTTATTGAGTGCTTTTATGTGCCAGGAATTCCACTCTGTGCTTTTGCTGAACTATCTGATTTAATTCTCACAGCGACCCTCGGAAGTGAGTACTATTATAAAATATGAAGAGGCTTTCCTTCAACTCAGTGCCTGGCAGATAAGAGACTCAAAGAATACTTGCCGTAATCATAATGATCCCCATTTTGCAGACGGAAAAACTGAGGTTCTGCAAGGTTTGAAGATTCATAACGTATAAGGTTTTCAAGCTATAGGATTTGAACTCTGGTTTGTCTGTTTCCATAACTTGTGCTTTTAACGATAAACTTTGACCACTGCCTCCAGAGTCTTGTTCACTCTCTGTGTCTCCAGTTTCAGCCTCCGGAGATTTGGAGAGGAAGCCCATGAGGTTTTGTCTTCCAGCTGGAGTGCAGTCGTCCTGCAAGAAAGCGCCCACTCACCCTCTTGTTTCTTTCCTCCTCAGCTGCGTGCACTTCGCATGTGAGGCCGCTGACTGCCCGAAGCTGGCTGTGGAGAACGCTTCTCTCAACTGCTCCAGCAGCGACCGCTACCACGGTGCCCAGTGCACTGTGAGCTGCTGGACGGGCTACGTGCTCCAGATACAGCGGGATGACGAGCTGATCAAAAGCCAGGTGTGCGCAGGTGCCGGGCTCAGAGCCCCTCTCCAGCCGCGCAGGTGCCGGGCTCAGAGCTCCTCTCCAGCCCAGGAAAGGCTGAGCGGATGTGGAACCTGCTCTCTGCTGAATCCTCAGCACTTAAAGTACTGCCGCCCCATAGTAGATGCTCAGTAAATAGGTGGGGATCGAATGAATGAGGGAGTCAATCTGGGATTTCTGAGACAGTGGTTCCTGTGCAGAGGAGCATACAACATGTACCAGAGTCCCCATATAGGTTGCAAATCTGGAAAACCGTGGGCTGAGCATGAATTTTGGACTGAAACCGTCACAGTCAGAACTCTGCTACAGTCGAATGGGCTGCTTTCAGAAGAGGTGAACCCTCTGTCAGTGAGGTGCTCATTCATTCATTCAAACATCTGCACTCCGGGAACCAGATACTCTAGTAGGTGCTAGAGAAAAAAAGGTCACTGAGATAAACCTAGTTCCTCCTCTCAAGGAGCTTAGTGACTAGCGACCACGAGCAGAAGATGAGTGAGTGATGGCCTCACAGTGTGCTAAACACTGTGAAGGGAAGTGCAAGGTGTTGTGGGAGCACAGGGGGAGTCAAGGAAAGCTCCCTGGAAGAAGCGACATGAAAACTGAGAACTAGAGAGACAGACAGAGGGGCGCGTGTTGTGGGGAGGGAAGGAGGCAGGCTCTAGGCACAGGCAAGAATGGTATGTGGATGCCCGTTGGTGAGAAGGGGCGCGCCACAGACAGATGTTTCTTTTACTGAACTCACCCAAGCAGTGAGGCTGGAGGGGCAAGCAAGGCCCTGTTAGCTTGGTCAGAAGTTTGAGGGTCATCTTTAGGGCAGCAGGGAGCTGTTGAAGGAAGTGGCGTGGTCAGATCATGGCGGATAAATGTCCTTCCAGCGGCCCACCTGGGTGTGGCTTGGAGTCTGGCAGAAGACTGGCCGCAGGGAGAGCCATCGGGAAGTCATCAGAAGAGCGTGTGGAAGGGGGATGAGTCCCGCATGAGGGCAGTGGCAGCGAGTGGACTGGAGGTGTCGCAGGACGTTGCTTCGGCCAGTGTGGCCGTGGGGTCTCGGGTGGGGGAGGGGAGCGGCAGTTAGTTAAGTCCTGAGATTTGGGGATTCCAGGTGCAGCCTCCTGGGGGGTCCTGCCAGCGGACTCCCACTTCGCGCTCCAGGTACACAGGGCACGTTCCTCGTTGGTGGGAACATCTGTTTGCACAGTCCCCATGGGACCTCTGGGACCCTCAATTGCTTGTCTTAGACACCTGCTTCTGTGTGTCAGACACGGAAGGTCTGAAGTCCTGTGGAAACAATTAAGCTGGTTTGGGCAGTGAGGGACCTCTCCTCCCTTGGATGTGTGTTTAAGAGGGGTAAAGTGTCCTGTGCTTTTAAAATCCCAACTCAACGTTTGGCATCCCCGATCCCCTGGGATTTGGCAGCTCCCTCCTTGAATGGAGGCCTCCATGCTGGCTGCCGATGCCGGTCCCTCCCGTGGCTCTGTAGCGTGGGCTCGCCCTTCCACCCCTAGCCCTGCCATCTTCTAGTTTGGGTCAAATCCCTGTCGACCCTTTCATTTTCTCAGGCTTGTTCCTTCTTCACGTCTCCCTCTCCCAGCTATTGAACCATCACATCTCAGAGCAGGGAGTGGCTCTTAGAGCAATCCTTGGGTTCAACGCCAAAGGGACAACTCAAGGAAAGGGACCTGCCCACGATCTCATAGCACAAAGGACCAAATCCAGCTCTCCATTCTCCCCTGGCGATGCCCACTCTGTGCCAAGCACTAGAGGATGAAACACACAGTCTCCTCCAGGGCCAAGAAAAGATATGAAGATCAACAGCCAGTGTCCCACTGCTGTGCCACGTTTCAGAGGCTATTTCGTGAAAGAAGTCGTCAGGCCCCGAGAGGTCTGAGTCTTAAGATTCTCAGCAACAGAATGGAAATAATGATCTGAGAGACTCTCCAGACAGCAGTGAAGAGCCTGGACTCAGTTCCCACTCATCCTTTTTCCAGCTCTGTAACTTGGAGCTAATCCCTTAATGTCTCTCAGCCTCAGTTTCTGCAGCTGTAAAGTGGGAACTGAAACACCTCCTTCAAACAGTTGTTGGGATCATGGAAAGGGAGCTAGAGTTAAACGCTAAACATTGACCTCTGGGCGCCTGGCAAGAGCCTGCGCCGTAGCCTGGGGGAGAAGGGGGTTTCGCCACGTTTTGGGGGTTCCATCTGCCGTTCCTCACTGTGCCCGCCCCCGCCTTTCAGACAGGACCCAGTGTCACGGTGACCTGCACGGAGGGCAAGTGGAACAAGCAGGTGGTGTGTGAGCCAGTGGACTGCGGCATCCCGGACCAGCACCACGTGTACGCTGCCTCGTTCTCCTGCCTTGAGGGCACCACGTTCGGGAGCACGTGCTCCTTCCAGTGCCGCCACCCAGCGCAGCTGAAAGGTACCGCCCTTCCTGTGGGAGGCCTGGAGGCTGCTCCCAGGTCCTCCAGCTGGGGCTCAAACACCAAGGGGTGGACAGGGTTTTATCTGTGCTTCTGATTCCTTTCTGCCCATTGTATGTATGTAGACTGCCTTGCCGCGCAGCTGAGGGGAAAGTGGAGTATGGATACGTATGGCATCTGTAAGATCTTTCAAATCTTGCAAAAGAGGAAAGAGACAAGAAGGAAGGGGAGGAGGGTAGAAGGAAGGAAAAGATTCTAAGAAAGTAACGTTTGGAACTGATGTGACTAGTTCTCTGCGTAGGTTTAGGGCCCAGTAAGCTTAGGAGGTAAGTATTATTACTATTCTCGTTTTCACAGAGGAGGAGACCCAGGCTCAGAGAGGTGAAGGAGCTTGTCCAAGATCATGCATTTAGTGGGGGCCTCCGCCATGGGGCCCAGGTCTGCCTTTTTCCAAAGGCCACTGCTTCTCCTTAGGAAGGGCTAGCTCAGAGACGAGTGGTTCTGCACGGAAAGTGCTTACAGGGATCTCGTGGGCAGCGTGCTAGGGGTATTTGGGTGAGTAAGGCATAGTCTGGCGAACTGGAGAAGAGAACTTACGTTGGAAATGAGTGAGAGGCTGGCCTGGGTGACCTAGACTGTCAAGACTAAAAGGGCTCTTTAAACTAGTCAGGAATAACTGATTTTTGGAAAGGTGGTGAAACTGAGGTCCAGTGAGAGGAAGGAAGGAACTTGTAGAAAATCGCAGAGCAAGTTAGCGGCATTATCAGAACGACGCTCTTGGCTTCTAGTTGTGTATTGGATTTGGACATTATACTCAATTCTCACAGGTGCCAGGACTCTCTCCTTTGCTTGGTTTATCGGAGGAAACATTGCCCCTTTATCAGACACCCCAAATGATATCTCACTAAGCAGGTGTCCTACCTTGGGGTTCATCATTCTATAGAGTGGGAATGAGTGGACTTCTGTGGAGTGGTGGTGGGGGGGTTGGAGGGAGGTGTGTAAATCCCCTTCAACTTAGATGTCATATTGCAAATTCACGAGTTTCAGGCATTTTGATGATTAGAGAAAGTCAATAGTGTCCCCAAATTTTCAAGGAAATATAGAACTTCAAAAGATTACCACACATAGTAAGACTCAATAAAGTGTATAGACTGTGGCTGGATAAATTGATGAAAGTAATACCATAAGAAATGTTTCTTTTAAGAAATGAGTGAAGGACCCGGCAATCTCACTACACTGCCCCAAAAGCAAAGCAGGAAGCACTTCTGGGGTACGTCCTTTAGGGCCCCTCATTTTTTTTTTTTAACCCAAGAAGATTTGAACGTAAAATCATTTTATCTGAGCTGCTATAGAGATTGAGATCTGAGAGAGGTGAAGAGACCAGTGGAAATTGTAAACCCTCCATCTTTCAGGTTACCTGAGCCCTTCCATTGGCCCCCGTTCGCCCAGAAGTGGGACCTGTTAATAACTCCAGACTAGGAAATCACACTTCACCTCTCAATCAGAGGCCCTTGGGAAAGGGAGGTGTATAACTTAGCGTTGATTATTACAGCCCTCATTGTGGCTAATAATAATCCTTAATCAAAATGATTCAGGCCCTTCTGCCATTGCTCCTCTGCTTGACTCTGGTGGAGGGGGTGACCCTACCATGTAGACATGGCCCCAGGAGGACTGCCATTTTGATAGTTGTTGATACCCACTTTGCTCTTCCCTTGAAAACACAGGGCAGCATCTCGCCAGTGGCCACATTGACCCACCAGGACCCACTGGCATACCATGACCTTGGTTCTCAGCATCACCTGATGTTCAGATTCCAGGTTTTGGTGCTTTGGCTTGGATCTTCTGGCAGCAAAAACTGGGCAGAGGTCCTTTTACCTCTCTCTCTTTTTTTTTTTTTTTGCGGTATGTGGGTTTCTCACTGTTGTGGCCTCTCCCGTTGCGGAGCACAGGCTCCGGATGCGCAGGCTCAGCGGCCATGGCTCACGGGCGCAGCCACTCCGCGGCATGTGGGATCTTCCCGGACCGGGGCACGAACCCGTGTCCCCTGCATCGGCAGGCGGACTCTCAACCACTGCGCCACCAGGGAAACCCTTACCTCTCTCTTGAGCTTGTTCATGATGCCTCCCTTCTTAAGCCAGAAGATAAAGAGGTGATCAAAACAAAATTTTACCATATTTCTTGTTTGCTTCCCTTTCCTCCCTTCGTTTTTCCTTTCCCTGCAGCATGATTTAAGCAAAAAGAATGTGAGCTTTCGTCAGACAGACTGGGATTCCACCCCTGGTTCTGCCCCAACTGATCTTAGGAAAACAATTTCACATCCTTGAGCCTCAATACTCTCATTTTAAGATGGCTGTAAGAGCAGCCACGTTGAAGTGTCATGTTGAGAATTAAAAGAAATGGTGTGTACAAAATGCCAGGGCCAGAGAAAGTGCTTAGTAAATACTCATCTCCAAGGGGCACCCTTATGAGAATCCTGGCAGTGGCTACCCTCTCGGCCCATGACCCCTTTGTCCCACGGAGGCCTTAGTTCTGGGAGCTGTAGAGACGCGATCCATCCTCCATGCTCCTCTCAGGACCTGGAGGTTAGTGTTCTCAGTCAAACAGCCACCACCCAGGAGAAGCACTGAGTGTGGCCCTAAAACTGCTATAATGCAGGTAGCACCACAAACTCCCTTGCGCCTTAGAATCCAGGTGTACACAAAATACCCTGCAAACTCACAGCCCTAGAATCACTCCCGCCAAGGTCCTTTATCAAACGACCACTAAAAGCACAGACCAAACCTACAGACATGCATGAGGGAAAAAATACTACTCTCAAGCTTAAAAAAAAATAACTTCAAAATCAAAATCATAAATGTTTAATTAAATGGCTAAAATTGCAACGTTACTTCCATGACCTAGTCAGCCTCACCTCAACCATGTGGGGTGCCCTGGATATCAATTCTGGAGTGGGGCTTCTGAAGCAAGCATGTGCTCTTCCTACAGAAATCTTTCTAGGGACTTCCCTGGCGGTCCAGTAGTTAAGACTCCGCGCTTCCACTGCAGGGGGCGTGTGTTCGATCCCTGGTGGGGGAACTAAGATCCCGCATGACGCATGACACGGCCAAAAAAAAAATCTTTCTAAAAGGCCCACTGTCTACTTCTGTCTAACCTCAGATTTCAAGGCAGTCTATTCACTGGTTTGCAGAAGATACCTAATACCATCGAGCATCTTCTGATTTCTTTAGACTCTCCTGAAGATAGGGACGTGAGGTGAGTGCCCACAACCTGCAGTGTCCAGGCTCCCGCCCAACCTCTGCTCTGTTCCTCACCCCTTACCCTCTCCCTCAGAATCCTGTCCTGACCTCCCTTCCTCTAGGAATTTCACATCCTCTCTCAGGCAGAGACCCTTTCATCTTTCTCAGAAGCAGATAGCCAGCCCTGGAGGATTCCGCTTTATCCCAAGGGTCTCATTGGGGCATCTTCCTCATAAAAACAGGGTCACCCCCAAAGAGGAATTCTCATACCACTCCTAAGAGAATGCTGCTTTCTTGCTCTTATCATCCTCCTACTTTGGAGATAACAGGGTCTAGGATGTCACTGGGTCCAAAGCACCACGAGGTGCTGATGATAAAGCAGGACTCAAACGCTTCCTGGGGGCCTGAGGAGCACTGTGGAGAAGAAACGTGTTCGGGATCACACGGCTGCTTGGGAAGCCGCCTTTAGATATGAGCAGTGGTAAGAATACAGACCAAGCAGCAGTTTTATCTCTTAGATAATTCTCCCTGTCTCCCTCACTCCCTCACCCCCACTCTACTCTGAATGGTCGCTCAAGCTTCAGGAGTCCAGCCTAGTCTTACTTCAGGGTTCTTAGCTGCTGCCCCAGAATCCCTTTGGCCTTTTCTAAACCATGCCCCTCAACCCAGAACTCCCATCAAACCCTGAAACAGAGGGCAGAGCTGGGAGAAGCCTAGAGGTCACCAAGGCCAATCATTTCACTGTGCAGTGCACAAACTGAGGTCCAAGACAGGAAGGCATTTATGCAAGGTCACGCATGAGTTACCATCAGCACTGGGGCCACAAGGTCACCCAGGGGTCCTGACCCTAGAAATGGTGCCCTCTTGCTAGGTGCGCCCGTTCCCACCAACCTGGTGAAATAATCCCACTTTTGCATTCCCCAGCCCCTCCTACATGGCAGGTGTCCAACATTCCAGGCTCTTTGCTCCCTCTTCTTAGGACATTCTCCATCTATTATCCCTGTCTGTGACTGCATCTTAGCACATTCTTTTTCTTTGTGTCTAACATACGGGGCCTCTTGGTCAAGAAATTCGGAAGTGAGCGACACCCTTCTGGACAGCGGGGAGGGGGAGGGAGTGGTGAAATCTTACTCTATGACTAGTTTTGATTTTGGCATACTCCACTCGTCCACAGTCCTGATTCCATGAGGTTTTCTCTAGACAGCAGTTCCTCTTTGGCCATGCTCTTGGGTACAGGCTCTGTAGCGGGGTCAAGAGAGCACGCAGGAGTCAGACAGACCTGGAATGAGCCCCAGCTGTAGTTTGAGCAGCTCACTTTCCCACTCAGGGACTCACTTTTCTCACCTACAAAATGGGATTAATGACAAACTGGGTTATTAGGAGGATCAAGGAGATGGCGCCAGTAATTCTTCCTAGGCCTGCCTCATAGACTCAATTACAGACAGCTATTGGTAGAATTCCTTTCAGACATTTAGAGGGGGAAATGGACCATTTAATAATCAAAATGTGATCTGACTCACCCAGGCTGGAGCTGAGAGAGCCCAGTTTTCCTGAGCAAATGATGCTTTCTGGGACTGCCAAGCCCAGCTCAGATTTTCTCTTTAGCTCCTTGGGATTCCAGGAGCCTAGAAATGTGCTTTCAGGACTAAAATCGGCAGACGATTGCATGCTTCTCTTGGTACCTCCATTTCTCCTGCCTCAGCTTCTCCCTGACTTTATGCAGCCCTGGCACTGGGTGAGGCCTCTTCTGTATTAGTCTCCCTTGTTCTTCTTCTTCTTGTGCTGTCACTTCTGTCAAGGTCTGTTTCTTTTTTTTTTTTTTTTTTTAATAAATTTATTTATTTATTTTTGGCTGCGTTGGGTCTTTGTTGCCG